GAGAGTGCAATACATGTCTGCAGACAGAGAAGAGCATTTTCAAAAACAGTTGATGTTGTCCCCATAAAGTGTATAAAAATAAGTCTCTGTGATCTCTGTAAAACAAAATTAGGACGTCATAAGGAGAAAATACACTCACATACACATGGCATAAATGAAAAGTGAGTTGGATGAAATAAGAATTTAAAGTCTAAAAAAAAAAAAACCCTCAACTGAAATGGCATAGTCAAAATCTGCAGTAGAAGCAATCAAGACTAGAATTAGAACTGCATAAAATTAAATCAGTAATACGAAGGATAAATTTGATTAACTCTCTCAGAATTCAGAGGAAAAGGACAAAGAGATGACAACAATGATAAAGGACATAGAAAGATGCTCCAATAACATAATTACAGGTGTTTCTCAGGAAGAAACCGCTTAAAACAGATTCAATAATCCAAGTTAGAGAAGAAAACTATCCTAGCATGGGGATTAATAAAAACTCAAAATTGAAAATCCACAGATTGAAAGGATGTATGATACCACACACACATACACGCACACATGCACGCATGCATGCGCACACAGACTCGTATTATCCTCACAAAATAGTTTAATTTGGGGGATAAATAAAACAATTTCTTGTAAGTATTCTGGAAATGAAGACATCTTTAAAAAAGATGTTAAGTGAGATTGCCAAATATAAATTTCTTAGGAATAATCATCATCCAAATTAAATTATCCAAGAGAGATTTTATTGATGAAATGATTCTAAAATTCATTTAAATATATAAGAATACATTAATGGTAATAATATGTAAGAATATCATAAATAATTTGTAAAGAAGAGTATTGGGAAAGGACTAATCCTTCCATCTGGTAAAATCTACTATAAAGGAACAGTAAGTAAATCAATGTAGCATTGATGGCAATGTGGCAAGAATAAGCAGATCAATATAACGGAAGAGACGGTCCAAAACCAGATCTCAGTATTTATGTTATATGAGATAAAACAAATCAGTGGAGAACAGTAGGATTTTTCAACAGACAGTTCTGTTATGATTGGTTAACTATTTGGGTATGTGTGGGGGTGTCTATTTAGATCCTCACCCTACAGCACATAACAAAATACCAGTAGATTAGGATTACATAATTAAAATATCAAACCATCAAAAAACAAAAGAAAACATAGATTTTATCCTTCAGGTCTCTAAGTTTAAAGGCAATGGAAGAAATCACTAAAGAATAGATACAAGTACACAAATTTTAAATTTCTGCATATCTAAAATATAAATACTAAATATAAATACTAAATACTAAAATATAGTATTTATACTATACTATACTAAAATATAAATTAGAATAAACTATCTGCAGCGAAAATACCAAACAAGGGGTTAATATTTTATTATATAAAGCACTTACAGAAATCAACTACAGAAAGATATGAACTGATCCTTCACAAGAGGACAAATTAAAATGGCTAATAAATATGTGAAAAAAGTGTTTCATCAGTAATTAAAGAAACACTGATTAGAATAGCAATGCCATGCTGATTTTTCACCTTTCAGGATAAGAAAGGTTAAAAAGTTAACTTGTTTAGGGTTAACGGTTAAGTGCGCGCGCTCTGCTGCTGGAGGCCCGGCTTGGGATCCCGGCGGGCACCGACGCACTGCTTCTCTGGCTATGCTGAGGCTGCGTCCCACATACAGCAACTAGAAGGATATGCAACTATGACGTACAACTATCTACTGGGGCTTTGGGGAAAAAAAGGAGGAGGATTGGCAATAGATGTTAGCTCAGAGCCGGTCTTCCTCAGCAAAAAGAGGGGGATTAGCATGGATGTTAGCTCAGGGCTGATCTTCTTCACAAAAAAAAAAAAAAAGAAAGAAAAAGTTAACTTTAACATTGAAGCGGAAGCAGTAAGAAGACAGCGATTCTTAGACATTGCTGATGAGGTATAAATTTGTATGATCTCTTAGGTAAGTAATTTGGTAATTTCAGTAGAAGAGCTTTACAAATACTCCTACTCTCTTACCCCATAATTCTTGTTTTAGAATTCTATCTCAAGGAAATTCTAAGAAATATGTACTTATATTTTATGCATAAAAATATTCGTCTCCACGTTATGTATTATATTTTTAAAAATTGGAAAGCACTAATTGCTTAATGTTAGAAGATAATGGTTAAGTAAATTACAGTCCATGACGTGAATATAATGTTGTTTTTAGAAATTAAAATGTGAGTATGTATTGAGTAATTATCTAAGTATTTTATATTCATTTGTTCACTGAACCCTCACTACAACAGTACTGGATATCTTCCCTCGCCCCTTCCAGGCACACCCACCTGTTCTGTCCCCTAAAGGCTGACCTGTATGGAGTCCATCAACGGGCTCCCTTGCCTTCTAGCTTTTGGTTGGATTAGGTCAATGGAGAGGACCAGCAGGAGATTGGAAGGAGGGAGGGGAGGGAGGTTTGGTATTTATTTGTCCTGGCTCCCTCTCTGCGGGTTTCCTGTGGGCTGACTGCCTCTCTGAATTAAAGGCCACAGCTTGTGTCAGGCAGCCCTTTCCAAACACCCCTGTTGCCAGGATCTGATTACTGCTCTCTCCCCTTTTCCCTTCATAGTGATGCCTTCTTGCTGTCACCAGCCTGGGAATACTGCACGACTCCTTGTGGTTTCTCTCCATCTTGCCCACATCTTTTAAAACACTTCCTTTATGATACTATCTTCAAATGATCCAGTTGGAGTTTGCTGTTTCCTGCTGGAACCCTGCCTGATACAATAATTTATGAGATTCTGCGGTTGAGGAGACAGGCACAGAGAACTTAAGTAATTTGCCCAAGGTCACACAAGGGAGGAAACAATACTTGTAGGACATGTCACAAGGATTCCTTTATTTATCTATTTTAAAATAACTTTTATTACAAAAGATACACAAAATATACAATACAAACAAGTAAAATGAAGAGAGAAAATACTCATATTTCCACTCACCTATTTCATCCATTATTTATTTAATAAGACTCCCACATTTTTATCTCCAGCCAAACTCCTGCTTTTGAGTCTCAGGCTTTATGTTCAAGTGCCTACTCCATAAACATCATCTGCACGTCTCAGAGGCACTTGAAACTCAACATGTCCAAAAACAAGCTCCTGATCTTCCAAATCCTAGCCACAACCAAGTCCTGTCAATTTTACATGTAAAAGTCTCTAATATGTCCACATCCCTCCAGATCCACTGCTGCCACCCACCTTAGTCCGACACCATCACCTCTTTCTTTGAAGAATTCCAAAATTTGGTCTCCCTGTATTTATCTACTCTTGTCCCCTTCAACCCATTATTCACATAGCAGGCAGATAGACCTTTTCAAAATGCAATCTAGTCATGTTGCTCCTTGCTTAAAATCTTGCAGTGCCTTCCATTGCTTTAGAACACAGACCAACGATCTTACGCTGGCCCGGCCAACCTCAGCAGCTTTGTCTCCTGCACTTCTCCCCTTGCTATAGCTCCACTGGCTGGCTTTCAGCTGCTCCAATGAACCATTCTTTTTTCTACTTCGGGGCCTTTGCCCACATTGTTCCCTATGCCGGGGACATTTTTACACTCCTCCCCACCAAAGTTAACCTCCAGAGTGGTCAGGACATCCTAACACTTTATCACTATGAACCTTTCCAAGATAACATTTATCAGAATTTGGATTGACACATCAAGTGTTTAGTTGTCTATCTCCTCTACTAGCTGCTCTAGCAGACAGTATGTTTGATGAAGGTCTCCAACTGTCTTGTGTTGCCTGTGTACCCCCAGTACCTTGCCCTATGCCTAGCACATAGTATGAAATCAAATATTTGAATAAAAAGAAATGAAAGAAACAGGAATAAAGAAAAAGTTGGGCAGAATCACATTAGAAATGGCTGAATTCTTTATATCTACTTCCTCTTTCTTTGCTTCAAAGTCTAACAAGATAAAAGTGATACCGATTTAGTCATAAGTCTCAACTCCTTTTCTAGAAAGTAAAAGTTATTAAAATTGGATAAAAGACTAAATCTATATTTTCTTCAAGTTTCTTCAACAAGATATTGTTTGATACAGAATTGGGGGTGCAGGCAGGAGAAATGTTTATAAGTGAGAATGGATACTAGTTAACTTCCTAGAGTTGCCATCATTTACTCTGAATTCATGTCATAATTACATCTATTTTTGAGGGTTCTAGTGATGACAAATTCAGCTCTAGAAGGATAAAGTGGAAATTTAAGGAAAGAAAACTAGCAAGACAAGAGCCTGGCTGCACAGGAAAAATATATGCACTAAATATCCCTCTTTTCAGTCGGATGGGGAAACACATTTTCTTTGTTTCTGCACCTTAGCCATTCCTTGACCTTAGCTTTTAAACTCCAGGTCCCACTTAATCTGTGATAGCTGAGTTCTTCATTTTCTCATCTATTTACTTCAATTTTGGTTAAGCACCTCAGTTTGAAAAACCAGACAGAAAACCAATAATTGCCAAATCCTCCCCCAACTGACAGTTTCCACTTCACCCCGCCCCCTGCGCGGCTGCGCAGATCTCTTCCGGCCCCCTCGTGACGTCACAAATGGGCCAGACCAAGTGGGGGCGGCGGCCTTGCAACCGTGCCATCCAGGTGCCGTTTCTTCACGTATCCGCTTCCCTAAGCCCACCCCAGCCCAGGCCCCTTTTAGTTAAAGCGTTAGAGTAAAAGCACCAGGTTGAAACCCCCACGCGGCCACGCCCACACTGTCGCCCGGCCACCGCCCCCCTCCCTTTCGGTGGCGTAGCCCGGCTATTCCGGGCGGGGGAGCCCTCCTTGAGCGCGCTTTGGGCGGGCAGGGAAGGCGGAGCCAGGCTGCCTCAGCGCCTCATCTCCCCTCCCCAAGTGGGCCGGGCTCCCGGGCTGGGCCTCCAGAGTGCCGGTCAGGGACAGTCGGGGCCTGAGAGGCGAGCGCACAGGGGGAGGGGCGGGGGCGAGCGGAGCGCCCGGCCCCCTGGTGCGTCAGCCCTATGAGCGCACAAAGCCGGGACGCCTCCCGCGGCCGCGGCGCTGGCGGCAGCAGAGGGCGCGAGGCACAGCGCGCGCCGGGTGCCCGGGGCGTCGCTCCGCAGATCCTGGACCCAGCCTCCAACTTGGGCCCGGCCTCGCCCTCCACGTCCCGGTGGAGTGTCCATTCTGAGTGGCTGACCGTCTCCCAGCTGTTTTCCAGCAACCTGTCGAACGCGTCCACACCCGACGCGGCATACTCCTGGAGCTTCAGCGCGCCCGCCCAAGCCGGCCCCAGTCCTAGCCCGAGGACTCACACGGACTCGAAGATTGGCCACTGGGACTCTGGCGCCCACGGCCTGAGCGACCGGATCCCCATGTCTGCCACCCACAAGAGCACCCCCGAGGGGGCTGCCCCAGCCTCCAGCCCGGACACCGGCAACCCCCTGGTATCAGTACGAAGATCTGTCCCGCCCTCAAGCTCCCCCCGATTGTTAGTACTTGAGTCCGCCCCACCCTCAGTGCCCAGCTCCCCCCAGGTATCAGAACCCCCTACACCCCCAGGACCTCCTACACCCAATAACTCCCCCCGAGGGTCGATAGAAGGGTCCATCATGGAATCGGTATCAATACCTCCCACACCCAATAACACTCCCCAAGTGTCAGTACATGAGTTCGTCCTGTCCTCGGTGTCCAGCTCCTCCCGGAGTGCGGTACAAGGACCTCCTCCGCCCAGTAACACCCCTCGAATGTCATTACAAGAGTCCATCGAGTTCCCAAGGCTTGGCCCCCGCCAAGTAGCTGTACTAGAATCTGTCTCACTCTTGGGCTCCTCTCAAGCGTCGATACAAGGGTCCGCCCCGCCCTCAGACCTCGGCTCCTCCTGGAGTTCGCTAGCAGGATCTTACCCATTCTCGGGCTCCTCCCTAGCGTCGGTACTAGAGTCCGACCCGTCCTCAGCGCTCAGCGCCCCCTGGAGTTCGCTACAAAGAACTGCTACACCTAGTAACTCCCCGCAAGTGTCATTACAAGAGTCCGCTCCGCCCTCAATGCCCAGCTCCTCCTGGGTATCGGTGGAAGAATCAGCTCCGCCCCCGGGCTCCCCCCGAGAAGGGTCCGCCCCGCCCTTGGCCGGCCCCACTCCTATACCCAAGCCCCGGGAGAGTCTCACCCAGAGCATGGCGAGTCAGGAGAAGGCGAGTACCGCAGGCCACATGTTCGACGTAGTCGTGATAGGAGGCGGCATCTCAGGTCAGTGTGGACCATAGCGGTAGCCTGAGGGGACCTGGCTGACCCTGGGGTGGGGGACTTGCGGTAGCGCCGTGGCGTTTAGTGGGGTCTCTCTTGTGCACGCCAGAGTGCAAGAGTGGCCGGCTGGATCCCGCAAGGCGGGGGTGGGGGTTGGGCCAGTTTTGCTGGTGATGTGAACCGGGAGGAGGCAGGAACAATAATTTTACTACTGCTACTATTAAGTACTAACATTTAATGAGCTCTTGCTCTGCAGTCATATTTAGCACTTTACGTGGATTTTCTCAGTCCTCGGCAGTCCTGTGAGGTGGGTACTATGTTAGCCCCCATTTTACAAAACTAAGAAACTGAGGTCTGGAGAGTTGCAGTAACTCTCTGGAGGTCAAATCACCCAGCCGAGAAGTGGCTGAAATGATTTTCTCCCATTTAAGACTCGCACATCTAATTCCTGCGGTGGCTGCTTTGCCTCACTGACTTCACGTCCTTTGCCCTAAGCGGAACATCAGTATACGGATTTTTGTAGTATTGAGGTAGTAATAGTGTTATTTCAGTCCTGCTCTTCTCTAAGCACTTTTCCTTAGAAAATTTGGTAAGTGAAGAGGAAGAAGAAGCATTTAGGAAAAGGTTTTTTTTTAAAAAAGAGAAGAAGAGAGCCAGGTGGGTTCTTAGTTTTAACCTACTCTCACCAGTTTTTTTAGAACTTGCAGAAGGTATAGGGCATTTATTGCCCTAAGGGAATCCGTTTGTGAAGCTGGCGCTGACGGCAGGTCAGAGAATGTCCTGTTGTGTCCTTTTGTAAGAGCTCCCACCACCACAGGACTCTTGTCCTGTGATGAGCCAGCTGGGGAGCCTGGGTTCCCCTGGTCCTGGCTTGGGTTTGAAGCTGACCAATTGAGTGGTGCATGAGGCTTCTCAGTATCTTCCTGGAAACCTCATCATGATTGATGTATTAAATTGTCACTTATGTTGTTATAACTGGTAAAATGGTTGAAATTTAGGAATTGTGTTTGATCTCTATCTAGAAGCCCACAGTAAGCTGTCCACGGCCCAGGAGGGTGTTAATAATTTCTGGAATATACCTGCAGGATCTGATTTAAAGAGAGGGAGAAAGAAGGTGGGAGGGAGTTAAGTAAGGTGGCCCCATATATAATCCTTTTGAGGAGACTCTGAACATGCTTACAAATTAATTTCGGGTAGAGATAGCTTTTGACTTGTCCCGTTGAGGAAAAAGTCTTCATCACCAGAGAAGAGAGTCACATGAGCTGTTGCTTTGACAACTCCAGCCAGTGCCAGCAAAAACATGCATGTATGTTGGAGCATCAGAGGAAAGCAGAGTAAGAAAAAGAAATATTTCCCTTCATTCATTAATTTATTTATTCATTCAACAAACACTTGTTGAGTGCTTGCAATGAAGTGGACTGGTGTTTCCAAAAACCTAGTCCTTCTGTGCAAGCCTCCTAGAAGCAATATGATTGTTTATCACTGGAAAATAAATATGATGATAATGTGTTGTGTAAATTGATTAGGAGTTCTGTCTCTTCTGCCATCTCTATACCATCTATATTTCACAATTCAGGGTTCTTTTTGGACTTTACCCTTGTCTTTTCCTAGTTCTGTGTTCCAGTATTCCTTAAGGAGCATTTTGTCTTTTATTTTTCCCCTGCCTGATTACCTGCTGTTTCTCCCTTTCCATACTTTACTCCCAGTAGTTGGTCATGAGCAGAGGTGGATTTAAGTGTAGCTGATGACTCTTATGCTTTATGGCCTTACAACTGCTGTTCCCTTCTGGTTCTCATTCTAAATAATTAAACAGTTTCATACTGTATCTTGTATTCCTAATTTTGCATTCTTTTTTCTTAAAGAGAGCACCCAAATTATATAAGCTTCAGGCCCCTCAAAACCTGGATCTGTCCATGGTCACTATTAGTTATTAAGTTGTTCATTTCTGTTTGGAGGAAGTAGAGTGCATTTCTTGCACAGTAGTTCACACTCCTGTTCCAGAAGCCAGCTTGTAGTCCATCAGTGACAGTGGAAAAGGCATTGGGCTCCCCCTAATACCATCTCTGTCAGTCAGTTTTGAGGGATTTTAACATCAGTTTTGATGTTAAAATCCCTCAAATCTGACCAGAAACATTGCTTTCTGGCCGTGGTGCCTTCCCAGAGGGTTTATAACTAAAATAAAAGTAGATGCAAATCTGGCACAAGATAAACCCTGCACACAGACTGGGTGTTTGATGAGCAGATGAGAGGCATTACTTCCCAAGGGTTCTTGAGGACTCAGAAACACATCATCTTTGTGTGTGCTTAGCAGTATCCCATGAGTTACTTAATAGTCCCTGTATCAGTTTTAAGTGCTTTTGGATATGTCTTATAACTTTTGTCAGGACTTGCACATTTTAATATGTTACCCACACATACTTATAATATATGGCCAATACTTAGCATCTGCAGTGTTATTCCTATTATATAACAAAATAGCTCCCCGAAGAGTACAAATTCTAAATGACAGTCCTCAAAATCGATCCATATTAACAGAATTATATTTCATTTTTTATAACTATCTTTGCACAAAGAATAGCAGCATCTTAATATATCTCCCTTTGTCATTAAAAAACATAAAACAGAGCATGTCTTACAGCCACAAAATCCCTTTTTCTGTCCACTCACTGATTAAATAATTTTATATACTATGTTAGTAGAGGGGAAAAACCCCTGCTCATTTGTAAGTAGTATAATGGTATCTTTCACATGCTCTGGCCCTTATCCATCTTCCATCATCTATCACCAAGTCCTTTTTGAAACTCCTTTCATATTTTCTGTGACACTATTGGATCCTGAATTTTTATCCCACACTGATTGCTTCTTTTCTGTTGCTTTCATTGTGCCCATGTTTTTGTGAACTTCTAGTTTTGAAATGGCCTTCAGGTTCAGATGTTTATCACTTTTGGGCTCTTATGCACTCTTTTCTTCTTTCTCATTCTAGGACTTCAACTTTCCCTTATCTATAGAAAGCTCTTAAGTTTCTAGTTTGAATCCTTTTCTTTCTCTGAACTACTGTCCCATAGCTTATCTGCTTCTGGATATTTCACACTTGAATGTCTTATTCTTACTTCATATTCAGCATGTCCAAAAGCCTCCTTGCCCTCCAACCCAGTTTCTCTTCCTCAATTCCTTGACTCTGTTCTTGGCACCACCATCCTTTCCATCATTTTTGACACATTCTTTTCTTTTTTCTTCTACACCCAGTCAACAGATCCTTCTAACACCTCTTTTGGGCTATTCCTCTTCTCCATTCCCAGTGACTCCCCTGAACCCAGGACAGACCCTTGACCCCTTCAGCTCACCAGGTTATGACCATCTTCCCAGTGGCCACCCTTTCTCTTGGGCTCTCTCTTCATGTCCATCCTGCAGTGTTCTCCTAGACATGAAGATACGATTTTTTTTAAAAAACACTTTTTCCATCACCTTGCTCTTCTGCTTAGGACCTTCAGTGCTTCTATTACCAGCCTCTCAAGCTCCCCTCCACACCCCCAATTATCTGGTCCTACTTGGGTGGCATTTTCCACTAATTCCAACATGGACCTGAGCTTTAGTCATGCTGCTCTCTTGTCCTCAGTGCTATACCATGTTTATTTTGTCCCTCCGTTCTTTCCCTCTTTTTGTTTTTCTTTATGTGGAAGTGCTTCTCTCTGACCATTTATATCCTATCCATTCTTTAATACCTGATTAAAGATTTTTTTCCTTGGTCATTCTGGATCCCCTTGATTTTTCTCTCTTCTTGTAGAGCTTATAATCTGTATCTAACAATTCACACTTATTTTCTGTCTTTATTTCTTGATGTTATTTTAAGTATAGCGGTTCAGTTGCTGACTTCAGATGCTAGTTCTTACTCATGAGCTGACATAGATATAACAAATGACAGAAACCCAGTGTGTAAGATTTTAAAAATCTGCCCTCAACTGGGAATTTATGAATTGGCTCTCTTTAGGGAGAGAAAAAAAGCCCACCTTCAGAAGACAATGCATACTTCAGAGTCTTTGGGCAGAGGAGGCTCTGGTACATGGACTCTTTCAAGCATTTTGCGAGCCTCTACCATATGCCGGTAGTGGCTAGATCACAGGAAAGAGGTATATAAAGATGAGTAAGTATTAGTGTCCATGCCCATAAGGTGCCCCATCCTCTTGCAAGAAATAATCAAGTGAGAAAATAATTGACATTCGTACAGTGAGAGAAATATTAATGTTATGAATATGAACAAAGTGCTGGGACCTTGAGTGATAAGTAGGATTTTTAACAGGTAGAGATAAAAGGATGGGAAAAACACACACCAAACAGGAGGGACTGGAGGAGCACACATACGGAGTCATGAGGCCGTGAGCCATGTATGAGCAGTGTTTAAGCCCATGGCAAGAGTTCCAGGGGAGGAAAGTTGTTGCCTACTGTGCCTCTAGGGATGTGATCCTGGTAACTGTCGGGATAACCCCAATGTGCCACATCTGCCCAACGGTTAGCGAGCACGCAGTGAAAACACTTTAGTCGTAAGGCTGGATAGTCCTCGGTGATTAGAGAGTTTTTCCATGTTTTTTGAAATTAAATTCCAAGTGTCATGTAAAAAGAGATATTTCCGTATGGTGTCTAAGCGATAGAACTCCCCTATATTTTTTTCTACAAGCCGAGTTCAACTAAAAGAATTGAGAACAGTAGCCACCCAGAAGTTGGTATAAAATTATCAGGGACTGAATATTTTCCATCATGTGAAACAGAAAAGCCATTTTGCAAGAAGATTGAGTAATGTTCTAAATTCGGACAATTGAATCCACAACATACCACAATTTCCCTTTTTGCTGAAATACATCACCCTGAAGAATCATTTCTGCTAGAAGCATTTTAGGCATTTTAATCCAGAATTTGGCAGCACATACTGTGTGGTTTTGTAGTGATTAAGAAAAGCTTACATTAAAAAAAAACGCCACTTATTTTGATGACTTAGTTATTTAGATACT